ACTCTTAACACAAAAATTAACTCTTTGGATTTTCAAAAGCATTTTCAAGATAAGTTTAAGAAGTATAATGGCATTTATTAGTGCTCATGTCAGCACTTATATTGGAAAGTACTTAAAGGTGAATGGTGTATCACTCAATGTATCTGTTAAAATACCAGTTTAGGTTAAATGTTATTGGAGCTAACCTTGAGAAAATGCATGATATAACAAGAACCCAGGGTGAACTGCAGCCATCTTCATTGAAGGATTATAGTTTCATCACTTATCATCTACCATCTCAATCTTTCCCTCCCTCTTTCCACATCTTCCTAGATTTTCCTCGTTTCATCCTTTCCACGCTCTGCATCGTTCTTTCAGCCCAGTCCTCCCTCGTTCTTATATGTCCCTCTATCCGTCTCCCTGCCACTCCTCCATCTAATCATTTCTCCTGAGTAGGGCTAATTAAAGGGGATCTGATGGAGTGCGCTGACCACAGGAACATCAATCAATCTCTGTCCAACACAGCAAGCCCCTCGCTGACTCCCCACAACCTGCTGCCAACGCACACAACTCTGCAAAGGTTAATTGTATTCATTATATAAGGGACAGAGCGAAAGATGGGAGACAACGGATGAGAGGATGTTGTCTAAAGTCACCCTGAAGGTTCAGGCTCTTGTGTAAATTCTCCATAGGCCACAGTTAGGTTAAGCTTATAGCAACAAAACCACCTGTCACCTGTTTACCTCTTCATCTTGTCTACCTGAGCCATTTTCTTTCACTCCGTTACACTTACACATCACTCRATCATCTACTCACTTCACCTCCCTTCCATCTATGCATAACACATAAACATAATTGTGTTAATTTAGCTAATGAAATGTATGAAAGGAGTCACGCATCATTAATAGAGAATCCTGATTAGTTGATTAAGTCTTAACAGACTTTGGGCCAAAACTCATTTAGTCGCTTGGGTCCAGCCTACTCTGCTGTTAATGAGCTTTGATACAGTTCTTTCTTCTTTTTTTTTTTTTGTTATTACCAGCATTCAAACATACACAGCCATTTGTTATCACCACACTCTTTAAATTTTGTGGCAGCTAATTTGAATGCAACCGGTGAGGCGTTTTTATCATCACATCAGTAACTTGGCACATTAGATGAATCACACTTTTATTTTATTTATTTACATCTAGTGTCCAAAATCTGCCCATTTCAGACAGCTTCAGTTTGAAGGAAGAGATTGATGTTTTGTTTTCATCAARTGTGAGTGATGTTTCTGTCATTGCCAAAGCTGTATAATAATTAATGATGCAGGTATCTGTATTTTTGTATAWAAAAAATGGATTTGGCATCAAAGGTTTTGTCTAATCAGTCAGTTACCCCTTTCTGATTGTTGTAAGATTTGATTGCTCAGTTGGTTCTCTTAGTGGGGAAAATTAAACTCAGTTCAGTTGAGTTTTTATTTTATTTTATAAAAATTAGGAGATTATAATCCTGATGCTTTTTTATCTCTCCAATGATTAGACATTTCATACAAATGCACTACAGACCTATTGTTGTTGTTTTTTATTTTTTTTCAGCATTAGACAACTCTAGTCAGGATATTAATATAAGGAGCCTCTGTGCACAAAGTATGCAGTGCCAAGTYTAAAAAAATGGTGTCACATTTTTATTATTTTGTTCACTTTCTAAGTGTCAAAATTTGTCCCTAACATTTTATTTAGCTCACTGATATTACATTTTTTTAAAAAATACTGAATGTTAAATTTAAAAGCTAATGCTGACCACTTCTAGGCGTTAGCTAACCAGAATGATGTTATTTTGCGACAAACGTTGCAGGAACACATTTTGAATTTAGATGTTAAACACCATCTTCAGCAGTGTTAGCAGCTTTAGAAGTGGTCAGCAGTGATTAACATTAGCTAACCAGGATGATCTTATCATCCTGCGACACATAATGCTAGCCACTGCTAATGCTTTTAGTGCTTTCTTAACTCACTAAAAAGGACAACTAAATAATACAAAATCTGTGAAAATCTGATTTTGTGGGACACTTGCAGATACACAAGTAAAATTTATACCCTTACCGAACCTTTGCAGCCTTGAGATACACAAACAGGTGGTCTTATCTTCCACAGCACTAAACAACTGCAGTTAAACCACTAAAATCAGCCTTTTGAACCTAACAATCTATCTGAAACCTTTGAATCTCTTTCCGAGGTTTGAAACTAGACTGTTGACAAGTTAGGATGCAATGATGTCCCTTTTACATGTGAGTGGCAAAGCTAACCAACAGGTGGCTGCTGTGTATGGGCCATTCATCTTGCTCTTAGAATTTTGGCCAGAAACTGAATTTTCTGAKACATACATGGCATCAAAAGACCGATGCCAAAATCAAATCAGAACTGAGTGGTGATGAAAGTCTCGTCTTTTCACTCGGTGGTTTTGCCACCAACATTAAAACTCTAAATGAACAGACATCTTTTTTGCAACACGGTTCACTGAGTTGAGACGTTTTACATCCACGCAGCAGTGGAAGATGTTTTTAGCCTTTTTATCATCTGTATAGTTGAACACTAAGTGACAAAAAAGTTTCTACTTAAAAATAGGCTTTCTGTCAGCATGACAAGAATTTCAAAACATGTTCTAGTTCTCTGAGGCCATGTTGCTGAAATTTGTATCATATTTTTTCAAGAATAATACGTAAAATTAAATCCATAAAATCATCCATAAAGTTTGGGGGTAGTATTATAATCGGATAAATATTTTTACTTATGTATTTTAACTGAACTGTTGGCTTCATTCACAAAATGCCTGAGTCCTGAAATGAGACCGCATCATAAAAAGCATTTGAAGCGAGCTTACCTCTGGCACTCCTTCATTTTTCAGAGTGAGATAACAGATCCAGGCAGGCGACATGATGTGACAAAAGGGGGGGAGRAGTCCTGCGCCTTAGTAATGATAACGAACTAATGACATTAGCGTGTGACTGGGCCGCTCCTCGAACAACAACAAACATGTTCMTCTGTAWTGGCTGCRYTCTACCGGTGTTCTGAAAAAGTTTGTATCCCTGAAAAAAGTTTCCCCACCAGAGGGGGCGTTCGCAAGTAGGAAGTAATCTGCTTTTCCCCCACAAGATGGTCCAAATCTCATGTGAAGTCTCTGACTTTTGTGTTGGCGCATCCTGGTGGACTATGTGTAAAATGCCAGAATTCATATGATGCTGCTACAGCTGATATATATTTGTTGTCAAAATACCTTTTAGTACATATGTTGTTAAAAAAATGAACAGTCCAATGATCATTATACTGATATGTATAAAGACTGAAAATTCTTGAAGTCTGTATGAAATTGGAGGTAGTTTGAGGATTACATTTTTTATGCTTTTTAAGCTCAAAAAAGGAGGGGTCATATTATACATGAGATCGTATTATATAAGAATAAATACGGTAGTTATTTTTTCTGTATATAGCCTCTTAATAAGGGAAAAAATATCTAAGAGGAAACTGAATTGATCTTATTTTTAACAACAGAGAGACAATAATGTTCTGTCCGTATCAATGTGTATCTGCATGTGTGTTAGTAACATAGCCAAGAGCTTTTGTCTGTGCAATAATTTGGAATGTATTTACTCTGTATACCCAAAATGATTGCAAGTACGCCCTTGAAAGGTGTTTTCTCACATTTATTTAAGGCCCTAAAAACACTCATTATTAAAATGTTCACAAAGAAAAGGTGAAAATGTGAAAAGTTGTCAAACTTGCTTGTATGTTACTATAGAAACCAACGCATCCCATTGCCAAAGGTCATGCACCGACCTTCCAGTTGCTGTTTGTTTAACACTCTTGATCATAATCAAGCTGGAGTGTAACAGCTCAAGACAGCAAGCTCGCTACTTCAGGCGGCGCTTTCACCTCCTGCACGAAGTCTTTATTTTGACAGGGTTGTGCCACGCTCGAACGAGTTTCAAATTAAACATGTACAACTCACTGTGAGCTAATTCACAGCTCCTGCCTGCGATGCTGCCATCTGAAAAAAAGCCACCAGAGACTCCCAGCACAACTACAATAATAGTCAGCCACTTCATGCATCTCTCAGAGCGCTAACATTTATTAGTTATTGGGAGGTTGTTTAAAGTAATAGCTGCTGTTCTGAACGGTGTGACGACATGGTCTCTTACAAAAGCTCATTGGACAACTTGAAACGCRGTTGTTTGGTGTACAATAACATTGAAATGCTGGCTCGTTTGCTCACCAATGCWGCTTGCCACATGTTCTTTTGGGAGTAGTGGCATCTCCAGATGTTGCGTTAGAAGAAACTGTCACAACCTTCTGGCACCTCTAACTCACGTCCAMTGGGAGGTCAGGGGCGTTTCAAAGGCTGATGAGGATAATGGACCCTCCAACCTGGACTGTACCAGACTTTATTTGGTACATTCTTTGCATCAGCTGCTTCATCAGATTTGTCAAAACATAAAAACCGCAAAAATTTGTCTGTCTAACAAACAGTATCCAGCCAAAACGTATTTTTGATCTTGTTTTGAGACTAGGCTACTAAGCAAAGGCAGAATGTGTTTGACTAATCTTATTATCCTGGAGGTTTTCCTTATTTCAAGGAGTCTCACCAAGTGCAACCGRTTTACTGCACTGGCAGATTATYAAGCAGAGGAACTGCTGCTTTCAGCTTTTGTTTCTGGGGATTMTCTTTCCATAAAGGACTTTTTACCATATTTGTTGTAGACGTTTGTGCATCTTGAAGGAGATTTATCACTGTGGTAGCTGCGTTAGCCTCTCGAGCATCATTATCACAGAAACAAACAACAACTAAGCTCTCATGTCCTGTGTGCCCTTGAACCTCTCTTAGATTGTCTTGTTTCTTTATTTAACATTCYATGGTTGCTTATTTTGAAATCCATTTCCCACTTTCACTCTAATTAGCGTGCTTCATTCTGTTTATTTAGGTTGTTGCATTTTCAGACTTTGGGTTGATTGTTTTGTTGTGTTTTTCTGTGCTTGTTGAAGGTACCTAATCCCTTCACTGGATCGCTCTCATGCTGGCTTCTATCGCTGCATCGTAAGGAACCGGGTGGGAGCTCTTCTGCAGAGGCGCACAGAAGTGCAAGTGGCCTGTAAGTATACACGCACACACACGCATGTTTGCARAGCTGTCTAATTGGGGYCATTCCATTGACTTCCATTACATTTCTACAGCCTAACCCTGACCACAAACCCTAAGGATAACCTCACAGGTATCTACCTGACCCTAAAACTAACCTAAACTCAATTCACACCTTGGTCCTAAATGAACCCCCCAACACACCAATGGCCTTTGAATCAAACAGAGAATGGACTTTTGTCCCCAAATGCACCAGTAGTCCCCAAATGACTGGTGTTTGAGCTGGTTCAAGTCCCCAAAAGTGACTCAATCAAACCCACACAGATACACACACAAAAGGAAAAGTCATGGCTGACAGACGGACAAACAGAACAAATGAAAGAGCGCATGGATCCTGAGTGCATATGTGCTTAATTGCATGCAGAGTACACAGCAGGCCCACCTTCTCTTTGGCTGCTTTTGTATCAAGGACCGACCAGGGAGGGAGAGAGGCTGGCGGAGTGAAAGATCTACCTGCATCTCATTCGGAGCGTTATCAACCCAGACAGCTGTTCCACTCAGCACTCTCATTAGATTGATAGTGTTGCCATGGTTCTTTTTTCTTTCTTTCTTTTATTTTTTTTTACCTTTGCTTCATTTCAAACCTCCGCCTATTTCAAACTCTCTCTTTTGTCAACAACATCTGTTGTTTCTTAGCGAAAGCGCCGTTCCCGTGCAGCAACACATTTCTGTGAATCTTTCCCCCGCCGGTTTRGGGACGCACGGCTTTCTCCTCTCGTTAACGAGCTATTAGGAGGTCGTCTTGGGAGTCGTCGTGTTGTATCCACCCCACACAACTGCCCTACGCCCATTATCCTGGATGGGGATGTCGGGTTCATTGGCTTCTCCTTGTTTTCGGCAACACTCGAGGGACGGGGGTCGCTCTAACTGACAATTCGGTTCAATCAGGCAGAACAGAAAGAGCTGGGAGGGGTCAGGAGTAAAAACGGTCCCACTGGTTCACGTCTTTAGTATTAGGCAAACATAACGTTAGTGTTAACAACTCCATCCGTCTGCATCTCATTTCTCTTGTAGCTGTTTGATTCTTCCAGCACCAACTCTTTTTGCTTCCTTCTCCGCTGTTGACTTMCTCTGTTTTCTGGCCACCACTGCTTTCTATTTATTTCTTGGCGTGCACCCCACTGTCATTCAGCTGCTCTCGATTCCTATGTCTCCCCATTTCCATAATTCTCCTCTTGCCTCGTATCGCTTSCTCATACTCTGAAGGGGCTTCACTGGTGAGTAAAAAAGGGGGAAAATTTAGGACACCTGAAGAAGAAATGGATTGGGATGAAAAAAGGGAGGGAGTGGCAGAAAAGACAAAGAAAGATGGTAAGCTGTTTTGGAAAGGTTTTTTTTCATAGAGGCAGCACAATTAGGATTGCAGAGATACACCTCTGAAAAAAGGGAAACATGGCGAGGCATTAGAGATTGGGGAGGAAGGGGGAGGAGGACATCACATCACAAAAATTGCAGATCAAAGTCGGGGGATTTGTAGACTTCCCAGATTTCCATTTAAGCTAAGCACCACRGCTGCACAACAAATCCAGATTACCTATTTTATGCTCTTTGAAAGGGAGCAGGAGAGAAGGAAAATGAGATTGCCATCAATACACAGCCACTCCAGTAATGCTAAGCTCAAAGTCCCACACTTTGGTGTCTGCGTGTTMCAAACAGGCCTTCTAAACTGAGCCAGAACCTAATTGACTGTTTATTTGTGCTGAGGTGTTTTGTTGCTGTTGCTCCTCTTTAAATAAAGAGGTAAAGCTATGATCTTTCCTCTGCCTTCATGGAGCTTTAAAGCTTGTTTACACCTGATTCTTTAATGCGTCTTCAGCATTTGGTTTGTGCTAAATACAGACAGGAACTGTTCCGATGTGCACTCTAATTCAAACCACCTTCTGAAGTGGTCTGGATCGATTTATCTGGATATATTTGTTAGCCTGAATACAACTGATCCTGGATGTAGAGTCACCTAAACTGAGGTGACCCCACACAAACAGCAGTGTTTAAACTCTTGGTTAAATTAACGATCTGCTCAGCTGATTAAGACAATTAAACAACCATCCTTAGAATATTTAATCCATGTTTGGTTCATTCTTTGTTTTTCCCCGATTCAAAATAAAAAGAAATACAAAAAATTGAGTTTTTGTTTTAGTTTTGCTTTATACAGAGCCCGCGAGGGGAACATGGGAGATTTTTTTTTTTTTTGGGTTCCCACGCAATAGTATCGCGTTACCTCGCAAAAGTCATTTATCACTGTTGTGCCTGTCGGTTTATTAACAAACTCACATGTTCACCATTAGCGAGTTAGCCTACTGCTTTCATTCAGCTTCAGAATGAATATATCACACAACCACACATGGAAGTAAGTCATTATGTCGATATTTTAACACAGTGCAGCCACGCAACATCACTGTCAATTTCAAGAACTGTGGCAACACATCCTGTTTTGGTAACTGGATATTTCAAAATAAAAGTCTGATTTAATTTAGTTCATATACAAAACAAACTTTTGCGTGGGAACGCAAATTATTTTTGCGAGGTAACGCAAAAGTATTGCGAGATAATGCAATAGTATTGTGTGGGAACGCAAAAGGAAAAAAATCCCCCATGTCCCCTCGTGGGCTCCGTATTTTAGAACTAAATTAGAAAACAATTGCATAAATAAAAATAAATAAATTTTAAAACATTGACATATTAAATCAGCATGGTGGCTCAGTTGGTAGAGCTGATGCCTCTCAGCAAGAAGGTCACTGGTTCAAATCCTGGCCTGGGGAACTTTTTTGAGTAGAGTTTGCGTGTTCTCTCCATGCATGCGTGGATTCTCTCCGGACACTCCGGMTTCCTCCCACAGACCAAAAACATGACTGTCAGGTTAAATGATAACTCTAAATTGTCCCTAGATGTGAGTGAGAGAGTGAATGGTTGTTCGTCTCGTTTGTCTCTATGTTCGTCTCTGTGATGGACTTGCGACCTGTCCAGGGTGACCCCGCCCCTCGCACTGTGACTGCTGGATATGGGCACCAGTGACGGGTCGTGTGGGTCACTGGTGCCCATATCCAGCAGAAAATGGATGGATGGATGGAATTGTAAAAATAAAAAAGCTATTTATTTTCATTTCAATTGGTTAAAGCAAAGATATGCTTTGTATTTTATAGATGTAAATGTATGTTTGTCTTCMGCTGATGATCTTATCGTGATCAAATTTGCTTTAATGTTTCAAGTTATGCAGAATCGTGCTCGAGAGCAGCTATTGCCACTATTTTTAGGAATTGTTTTTGTTTTTAAGCAGTCTTCGGCCACAAACTCTTCTTCCTTGGCAACTTGCATTATTTCCAGTACCGCTACAAATTGAAACAAAGACTGTATATTTTACAGCGGGTAAAATAAGTATTGAACACGTCAACGTTTTTCTCAGTAAATATATTACTAGAGGTGCTAATG